TCTACCTTGTCGCCCAACGCTAACTGAAGTGGGTTCAGGTTCTAAAAAGGCTTGGGGCTGCCAGACCAAAACATAGCATCACTGGATGAAATCTTTAACTGTTGGTTTCAGCCAAGTAAGGAGATGCAGACTAGCCGGCTAGGGTTCACACGACAACAGAACCAATGCTTGGATATTCTAGGTGATATCGCTCAGAACCGACGTCAGTGGTGCAGATGTACCCACGCTTTATCTTCACTTTTACCACTATACTGAATTTAGCATTTTCTTATTCATCCTTCCCCTCTTTTACTACTTTGTGCAGCACTTGACCGAGTTTTCTACCTTTCCTCATCTTTCATCTTACTACTTTGTTACTTGATGTGCTGATGTGAGGTGTGGCAACTTGGACCGCTGCGCAGCAATACTGATATTGATGTCATCTCATAAGACAGAAATTTACTTGTTCCCTATATATATTGGCAAGGTTAAAGTGCAATGAGAACCATTGAATCTACTCATAACTTCAGCATATGAAATTTGAGGCATCTATTCCATATAGTTAATTCACTAGAATCAGCTACAATTCTACTAGTCCAATACTTCACTGGGTGGGAGACACCACCACCCTGATTTCTTAGTAAAACGCACTAAACACCTGCGTGATGCTTAACTCAAGACACATCGACGCCAGTGCTACCAAGCAGACTGATGATAAGCAAATTGAGGGGGTGATTGTGAACGTTGACTACTAAATGTAGTTTGGTGTTACATGTAAATGAGCCACTGATCTATCATTTCTCAAAAACAAACAAGTGAGACTCTAAAACGAAATTAAACTTCAGTAGCGTCACAGACGATGGAAAACATAAGATAACCTCAACACGAGAGAGTAATGAGTTGCAGTTTGTGATTTCAAGCTACCAATAGATGACGTGTTTATAGACTTAAGTAAGGCATTCGATAAAGTCTCATAAAATTATTAGGAGAGCTCTCCTCTTTCGGGTTCAGTGCTGCATTACAAGCCTGGAATGAGAACTTCCTGTACGATAGAAAGCAAAGATTGAGGGCCAGTGGGATACTGTCTAGGTGGAAACCGTTTCTAGATCCCCTATATTTCCTACTACATGTCAGTGAATTACCGCAAATGCTCAATTCTTCAGTGCTTCTATTCGCCAGTGGTGTAATCGTTTGGAGTCATATATAATGATCCTGATAGGTATGCACTTCAAGCAGATTTGGATGAACTGGTAGGTTAGTCCAAACGTCGGTCTCCGGAAATCAACTCTAGTAAAGGTACAATAATGCACACTGGTCATAGCAATTGTTTCTGGCATTTCATTGATGGTACACCACTACTCCCAGTCTTGAAACTGGAAGACTCAGGCGTCATCATAAACCATGATTCGAAAACTTGGGCACTCTGTAATCCAGCTGCAGCAAAAGGCTTCTGTATATTATGGTCACCATCAAAGCTTTCAGGATCAGGATATGTTCACAATGATCTATTCTACTTACATTAGACCTCACTTGGAATGCTGCACTAAGGCGACCAGTTCATGCCTAATAAAGGATGCTGACATACTCGAGTGTTCAAAGGGTAGGTACTAAGCTTGTGGTAAGCCTTCTGAATCTGCCTCATGAGGAACGACTAGATCAGCTAAACTTATTGTCGATGTCTTACCGTAGGAAACGAGGTGACCTCTAGTGGCATTCCGTATCCTTCATAATGACTTCGGTACTGATATGTCATACGTTTTTCTTCTTGCCAGGACTGATAATCTCTGAGACCATCACAAAAAAACCCACAAACTGTGATCGAATCAACTTAGCGTGAATCTGCGTTTCTTTGATCGTGTGGTCAACGACTGAAACTCCTGACCTTAGCAAGTAGTATCGGCACCTTCGGTCATGTTCAAGAACCTAGGTCTCCACGTAGATATCTTCTGCATGGATTAACAAAGACTAACAGGCGCAGATGTACCCACGCTTAACTTCACCTTTACCACTATACTGAATTTAGCATTTTTTGATTCATCCTTCCCCTCTTTTACTACTTTGTGCAGCACCTGACCGAGTTTTCTACGTTTCTTCATCTTTCACCTTACTACTTTGTTACTTGATGTGCTGATGTGAGGTGTGGCATTTTGGACCGTTACGCAGTAATCCCTAGTTTTATGTTGATTCTGACTGATTTTGGATTGTAACATTTAGACATACACGTTGATGCAGATTAGTCAAAAAGGAGGTTTAACTAAGACTACTAAATAATGGCAAGTGATGTTTGTTGTGTCTCTGAAGCATGCATGCGAGATCCGAAAATGGTAACAAATCAGACCACATTGTTCATCCATGATGATAATATGGATATCAATGCCATGTTGTCAGTTATTAGTCTGTGTGGTCAAGGTGAAGATGTGAATGGGTACGAATGTGGGGGAAATATACTGTGGATGACGAATTTGGTCTGTTCGTATGTAGGTTTGTCAGGATTATTGTGTGTGACGTGTTATTTTCAGATATACTCTCCAAGTTGATTTGATAGTTAAGCCTTCCTCTATGTTGCGTGCATTAGGATTCAACATAATGCGCGTTCTGGATTCCCATGCTAGCCACAACTAAGTAAATTGTCATAATGTGAAATGCCTCAGCTATCCGTCCTTCCTCGTAATTTAATAAACCTTTCCGATGGTTAGTTTTTAGATTTTCAATGTCAATTTTGTGACTGTGATAGATGGCATGAACAGCGATTGCCGACTTGATTTTTAAATTCTCTAATTCTACAGAATTACTTGGCGGTCGTTTTGTGTAACTTGCATTTTCTGTAGCACGAATGAGGATCCCGGACGACGATTTCTCAATATAATAAGCAGCTCAACCGACACAACAATCTAATTTTTAGACAGTTCTGTGTGGATCTAAAAGGAATTCTATCTTTTAAGTAGACTACAGCATTCCTGTGAGGGAATTCAAATGATGACTCCTGGATTAGCACAATAGTTCCACCATTCAGCCATGGCATAACTGAAGAACTATAAAGGACTTTACGAAAACACAGGAAAACAACCTTCTATAAGACAAGCAACACTCTCAGGGATACTATAGTTCACTTAAAAGATAGAATTCCTTTTAGATCCACACAGAACTGTCTAAAAATTAGATTGTTGTGTCGGTTGAGCTGCTTATTATATTGAGAAATCGTCGTCCGGGATCCTCATTCGTGCTACAGAAAATGCAAGTTACACAAAACGACCGCCAAGTAATTCTGTAGAATTAGAGAATTTAAAAATCAAGTCGGCAATCGCTGTTCATGCCATCTATCACAGTCACAAAATTGACATTGAAAATCTAAAAACTAACCATCGGAAAGGTTTATTAAATTACGAGGAAGGACGGATAGCTGAGGCATTTCACATTATGACAATTTACTTAGTTGTGGCTAGCATGGGAATCCAGAACGCGCATTATGTTGAATCCTAATGCACGCAACATAGAGGAAGGCTTAACTATCAATCAACTTGGAGAGTATATCTGAAAATAACACGTCCACACAATAATCCTGACAAACCTACATACGAACAGACCAAATTCGTCATCCACAGTATATTTCCCCCACATTCGTACCCATTCACATCTTCACCTTGACCACACAGACTAATAACTGACAACAATGGCATTGATATCCATATTATCATCATGGATGAACAATGTGGTCTGATTTGTTACTATTTTCTATCTTATCGTTCGATGACTTGTACAGGTTTTATTCTCTGAAGAAGCGATTTCCACATTAGGATTTTACAAATATATTTCATTTAAAAGGGACATTGCTTAAAGTTATGTGCACACTGCCTATTTTTAGTTAACAACTCGACATTCTATCAGGTACCCTCTAACTGTTACACGACCTTGACTAAGAGAAATGATGAGGTGTGTATAGAACTGATTCACATTTCGTAGCATGTGTTTAATTAGTGATTCGTAACAGACTTATTTCACATTTAGGTGGCTAATAAATGAAATTACACTGCTAGATATAAGTAGATTAGTTGTCCATAACACGACACATGGATATCTAATAAAACTAGGTTGAAGGACAATTGACTACACTAATTTGCCCATTGCTGTTTGGAAGAACGTCTCCCTCGCAAACACTGGATATTTACCAGTTTCTTTGAACTTCTTAATGTCATATGGTGTTTTCAAATCGACGATATTTTCGTTCTTTTCGTGAAAAACTACATTTTTTGGGCGGGAATCGTCAAACTAAGTGGCCAGAAGTGGAGATCGAGCTAAACATAAACAGGAACACCTGATAATAACCGGAAGTTAACCCAGCTAACTGAAACCACTAGTGGCAAGAAACCTGGTGCTGACTATCTGAGTGGCATTCCAATCTATACTATGCAGTGAGCCGCGAGAATCATTTCAACTGCACTATGTAACCAGTACTTGGCACAGTGAGGAACAGATATCAATGTAAAACCTACATCGGCACAACCTTAACAAGGTTCAAAAACTGCTTGTTTCTCCTAGGATTATTGCTTGAAGCCTCAGCTAGTAATAAAAGTTATGCAACCCTTAATTTTTAGGGATGAAGTTGGTCACTTTAATTTCTTAATAATGATTACATGAAGATCTTTGTTGCTTTGGTAAAACTCCTCTAACTTTGCTAGGACTTGAAAGGCCGATATCAATTATTTGCAGGTAAAATGTAGACGTTGATTCTGGTCATACAACACATGCCAGATCAAATCAACTGGAGCAGTACAATGAAATCACCCTCCGACTCGAGTAATCAGCAAGAATCTAGACTTGGATGCAGTACATCATCATACTTTAAAGCAATGAAGATAACATATTTTCAGAGAATTAAAAATCCATGGGCCAACAAAGTGAAACAGATGGATGTCTAATGACTAAGCTAGAAACCAAATGTAAACAGCGGACAATAAAAAAATCAATTTATGAAACGATAAAAGTAAAAATGAATTGAAAATTAATAATAATTTATTTCTTACATCTATAGTGAAAAGCAGAGACTAGTTAACTGCCTTTCGGATTACTTGACGCACTCTCTGAGCGTGAGAAGTCGCAGAATCAAATAAGACATTCCAGATGCTGACAGAATCACTATCACTGCTTTTCGATAGAATCAAAGTGTCCCAAAGACCTGTCAAAAATGCATTGACCATTGTAAAGTCTATTATATCACCACCCGATGAGACTGTTATGTGAACTGGACCAGCATCTGTGTCCCAGATATCCAACTCTCTTTTCGTAGGTTGAGCAATAATAGGAACAACTTTAGATTTCCTACTGGCGACCGGCCCCGGGATAAAACAGAAAGACAATGAAACAGGCCATTCATTCACTGCTAAAGATTTCTTCTCCTTCAATGGGCCAGGTTTATAACAGTCTAAATATGAACCTGCAGCTCGTTCGTCAGTAACTGCATATAACTTGGTCCAACTAGCTGTTGAAAGACTGACAAGTGCAGCCGGAACACAAGCATCCAATAAGCATCCATCATCATGTAGAATGAAAATATCAAGCTTTACAGCATATGAAGCAATAGGTACAGAATTGTTTGCATTGCCAGTAATTGGGTATATATTTAGCTGATTTTCAACAGATGGGAATGCAAAATCATTCAACAGTCGTTGAATTGTGGAAGAGAGCCACTGTGAGTACTTAGGTTGGGAAGCGTTCAAACGTGAACCTCGATGGCACAAACCAGCGTACTCGACATTGCATATGATACTTCCTGAGTTTCCGCTTTCAGGAATAACCTTAACCTAAAATTGTTGAGATCAAAAGTTTTGATTTACCTTTACACCTGCAATCACCTGAGTTTTCCCGACCTTAACCAATGCCGAACCATGACAAGATGTCAAAACACCAGCAGCCACATCTATATCGGCAAAGTCGAGACAATTCCTATCTTCTATCCGGACCTTTTGTTCAAACAACTGCTCGAAAACAACATACGGTTTCAGAAGATTAAGATCTCCCATTGCAAGTCGTTAACTCCAGGAGGATATCTGCAACAGTAGCAAAAATGTGTGCACTTCAGACAAACATTCAAATATGTGATTACAGTTGGACAGAAATTTCAACCAAACAGTGAAATTTTATTGTTTGGTTTGTGGAGAATGAACTGATGAAATCCGCCATGAAACCAATGAGATTTAGTTACACTAATAAAATATGAGACAGCAAGTCAGTTTGGCTTTCCGGTTTCAACCACTCAACTGATAATACCTGCAAAAATAGTGGTTCAAAATGCTGAATTCCTACCTGACTTAGAAAATGATGGATACAACAGTACTTGAAATATGATAACAACAGGAATGAGAATTTCAATTATATTCAAAACAGCAATTCAGAATATAATGTAACCATTCATTTAGAAGGTTACAATAATGTGATTATGCTAGAATCTGAAAGCAAACTTTTTGTTTTTTGTAGACAGTAGGGTCGAATAGTATAAATTATGTCAAGATATTGAAACGCCAAAAGACGCAAGGTACTCCGCTTCTGATGGTTAAATCAAGTAACCGGTCATTAAGTATAAGGCTAAGTGAGCATCTAAGGAACATTTCACCCAGTGACTGACTGACTGACTAACTGACTGACTGACTGACTGACTGACTGACTGACTGACTGACTGACTGACTGACTGACTGACTGACTGACTGACTGACTGACTGACTGACTGACTGACTGACTGACAAAAGGAACGTAGAACCTTGCATATAGGTGGGTCAGCTCAACTTGCCACACTTCCCAGTAGTACAAAAAGAACAGGCGGAACGAAAACGTGTGATATCAAAGAAGATAAAGTAGTGTGACAGACTAAACAGTATGAGGATAACGGCTAATGTGAATAGTCATCATCACCATCACTATCAACATAGGACCTGGCATTACTGGGTAACGGCCCAAGTTACCATACCTCATAGTAGCACATCAAGTAACAAGCCAATAGGAATGGAAGACGGAGATATAAAAATCGGTCAAAGGAAGTAGACGCAGAAACGATTAGAAGACAAGAAAGAAGAATTAGAAGATAGTGAGATTAAGTATAACGGTTAAGACGATGATAATGTGTGTATGCATCCGCACCACTGATATCTGTTCTGAGCGATATCAGCCAAAGTCGCCAACCACTGATTTCGCTTTTCCCAAGGACCCCAACCGGCTAGACTGCATCGCCCCACAAGGCTCAAACCAACAGTCATGCATTGATGCCATGTTTCAATGTGGTCACTTCGAGCCTTTTTCCAGACCGAATCTACTTCAGCTAACATTGTGCTACCAGGCAAACGGTGGCTGGACATACGTAACACCTCAGTAGATGAAGGTTCACAACCGCATCAACTGACTTTCCTCTCCTCCCTAAAACTCTACGTCTAACTTCAGAGTTACTCGCGTGGTGATATCATGAAACACACCCTATGCTACGAAGGTAGTGGTGATCAAGCACCTGAAGCATTCTCACATATTCTACCTTTAATAACCACGATTCATAGCCATAAAGCAGAACTGAGCAGACTGTATCACAGTGCACTGTACCTTTAATAGACAATCGGATATTGAGGCGGCACCACAGATGGCGTAAGTTGGTAAGAGTCAATTGAGCCTTTCGCATCCGTGCTGAAATTTCAACGGTCACTGACCCATCCATCAATCAGGGCTGCTCCGGCTTCCCAGGTAAGTGAAGTGTTCAACGCACTCAACCAATTCACTCCCTGTTGTTGGTCAGAGCATCGTTGAAGACCAGTCCCAGAGTAACAAGTTACATTTGGGTGGCGAGAGACGCATCTCAGACATTCTCAAATTGCCACTCAGTGTCCAGAAGACTGTATCTTATCAGCGTCTTTACCTAACAGGACTATGTCACCTGCATATTCTAGGTCAACCGAAAATTCTCCTGTAATTGGGTCAATCCGTGTGTAGTCAGATAACGATAAGAAGACCTCCATAAGAACATCTATGATAAAATTGAATAGGGATGGAGAGAGTGGTCATACTTGACGGACACCAATCGACGTACACATCTCACCCGATATTTCACCATAGGCTCTAACATGCACACAAATTGTTCGAGTAGAGAGCCTTTAATAAGGTGGTGTACTTACTCGGTACCTCTTTCAGTGAGAGACATTGACATAAGACTTCTCGACCGACGGAGTCGAATACGGCCTTCAAGTCGAGAAACGCAGCTATTGTTAAGCGTCGGTAAGCGTGTCTGTGTTCCAGAACCTGGCGCAGTGTGAATATTTACTCGATACACCCATGATCAGGTCTTAGGCTAGCCTGATTTTCTCTGGTTTGCTGTTCCTCAGCTGCACTCAAGCGTCTGATGATCATAGAACCTAGAATCTTATACACTATGTTCGTCAGGCTGATTCCTCTGTAGTTATCACAAGAGGACTTCTCGTCCTTCTTGAAGACTTGGATAATCAGTGATTCAAACCACTTAGAGGAGGTCATATTTGACTCCCATGCACCTATTCATACTTCAGCTAACATGACTAAAATCACTCTGCCACCGTCCATTTACACGTCAGAAACTAGTCCATCTGGACCTGCTGCCCTTCCTCGTTCCAAGTTACCTACTGCTTTCTTGACTTCTGCTAGTGTTGAGGATCATATCTTAATGTTCCGTTCGGGATCCGACTGCATAGCGCACAACGCAGTAGTAGTTGGAGGCCAGTTGAACTGTTCTTCGAAGTGTTTCACCCATCATTCCAGTCGTCTCCGCTGGAAGTGAGTCGCAGACCCATCCTTCTCTGCTAAAGTTTCACTAACTGTTGACTTTTTCGCCCCGGTTTCCTCAATAAGTTTAAATAATTGTCTACTGTTACCAATCACCACTGCCTTTTTCATCTTTTTAGCCTTCGTTGCCCACCACTGTTCGCGGTCATTGGGTAGACATTTTGTCAGTCTACATTTGAGTTGCGTTTGCTCCTCATTGTATTCAGACCCTGCAGGGATGCGCTCACGTGCATCCATTAGTTTAAAAGAAGCTGCTGATATCCACTGGCTCTTTTTAATCACTGTCTGAGAGTCGGCTACGGTCTTCAACGTTGCTTTTACAGCAGACTGGAGAAGGCACCAACCTTCTGGATGAGTGGTAGTGTTCTGTTCCAATAACTGCCTAACCGGTTTCTTACTGAAAGCGGCCTTAGTGCTCTCAGTGCGAGCTGGACTCGTAATGGTCTCTTTGCTGGAGTCTTTTAACGTTCATTCAGATGGAGACATATATGTGCTCAAAAAACTTGTAGTCGCTATCCAAACATGTGCTCCAGAAAGAGCGACAGTCTTCCACCAACCCTCTCCAGCGATGACTGATAGCAATGTGGTCTATCTTTGTCCATCGGTGAGTTTAGCTCAGTGGACGCCATGTCAGACAATGCCTTTCTTTATGTCTTAAGTTTGTGCTAGTTAGAAGTAAACAATTATCTGAGCACAGTTGTAGTAAGCGATCACCGTTATCTGTTCGTTCAGCTGAGATTCTGAAAGTGCCACCTAGATGCCTTTTTGTCTGACTTAGACTACCCATTTGTGCATTGAAATCACCGGCAACAACAACCACACCTGAACGTTTAGTTTTCAGAAGGAGGCTAGACAGTTTTCAGTAGAACTCGTCCTCCACTTCATCCAAACTGCAGTCAGTGGGTGAACATAGAATATGAAGAGACCGGCGAGTTTCACTAACGCTTTTTGTCTTCTTCGAGTGTCAAGAAACATGCCAACCATACTCAAATTGCCACTCAAACTGTCCAGAACTCTGCATCTTGTCAGCGTCTGCACGTAAAAGGACCACTCATTGAACAGCGCGTAAGCGAGTGTCAACTGGAATCCATTCGAGTACTGCACTATTTGTCCTAGTGCTCAATGCTTTACCTACACCTGCAAAACCGTGAGAACTGATCATCGAATCTCCAGAAACTCGAAGGGTAAATTTTGAGGATTCGTAATATTGACCGGGAGAGGTTGAGCGAATAACTGCACTTGGCTCCTGCATGCGTGTCTCACAAACACAGCAAACATTCATCACCCGAGTTGGTAGAGTTTTGGTTGATGAAGCTTGTTGGCCAATTTGACGGAGGGTGCGGACATTGAAGGCTCCAACGTGTAATTTGGAGCATTCGGACTTTTCGATGCCACAAAAATTCGCCTTTATTTTGGAAGGTGTGGTTTTGGATCGCCCTTAACCATTGGTGAGTGATATAAGCCATCATGATGCATCATTTCTTTGTTTGAAAACATGTCAAAGGTAAGAGTAACTGCTTTTTGTCTAGTCACTATCTAATAGACCTTTCTGGTATGGTAGGACCTTGAGGGAACAAGTCCCACCAGCACAGCTCGTTTGTTAGCCGTGGTATACAAGATCGACCAACACGTCAAGGTAGCAGCTATCGGTCTGTTGGCTGTGAATAATCAAGCTTCAGAAGATATCAAGTCGTGAATATATCTGCGTCATTATGACTAATTTTCAGCCATTTCACGAAGAGTCCTCGGAAATCAGACAGACAGTCTACATCTTCCTACACGACTTAAACCAACAGTCAGACACTTCATCAACTGGTACCATATCTTGGTCTGACCACCCTGAGTCCTCTTCTAAGCTACTCCAACTTCCTCTAGCATGGCACATCGACACAGGTGGTAGCTTGGCATGCGCAGTACATGTCAAAGCCATCCCAGTCGACTAAGGTTAACAACCTCATCAATCGACTCGTCTCACTTGCCTACTACCCCTCACCTGACCTCAGCAGTGCTCACATAGTGATTCCACCAAACGCGAGGAATGCTACAAAGACATCTGTGATCAAAACCCCACAATCGCTTCATGTCTTCTAATTTTATGGGCCATGCCTTCAACCAATCAATCATTATCAACATAGGACCAGGCATTACTGCGTAACGGTCCGAGTTGCCACACCTCATATCAGCACATCAAGTAAAAAGGTAGTGAGGTGAAGGATGAAGATAAGTGAATGCAGTCAAAAGAAATATAAAGTACGAGAAGAAAGAAAAGAGGAGTGACAAAATAGTGAGATTCGGTATAGCGTTGTTAAGATGAGGATAATGTGTGTATACATCCGCACCACTGACATCGGTTCTGAGCCATATCACCTAGAGTCTCCAACCACTGGTTGCTCTTGTCCCGCGGACCCCAACTACTTAGTCTGCATCGCCCCACACACCTCAAACCAACAGTCAACAACTTCACACACTGGTGCCATGTT